AAACCAGTAAACCAGTAGGAAAAAAATATTGTAAAATGTATTTCTAAACCAGGCTGGCACTTGCACAAGCCAAGAGTTCAGGCGGGTAGAGGGGTGAGGGAATGGGTTGTAAAGAGAGAAGAACAGAGACAAAGACAAAGGTGCACAGCAACAACAATAGCAACAACTATACTAGTAGAAATTACTAATGATGATAATGATAATGATGATGATGATGACGACAGCCATGACAATAGCCAATATAGGGAATGAATAATAATAGTGAGAAAAAGAAGAAAAATACCAGTAATATTGGCAGTGGGGGTCAAGCAGGACCATGGCAACAGGCTCCACCAGCATCTATGAGAAACCTGTCAGACGAGAACGCACAAGAACCCCGGGGAAGAAGTGAAGTTAGTAATGTGCATTAATTGGACATGAATGTGTGCACAAAGAGAGGGAGAGGAGCTCAGTGCATCATGGGAAGTCCCCCAGCAGTCTAGGCCTATAACAGCATAACTAAGGGATGGTTCAGGACTCACCTGAGCCAGCCCTAACTATAAGCTTTATCAAAGAGGAACGTCTTAAGCCTACTCTTTAAATGTGGAGAGGGTGTCTGCCTCCCGAACCCAACTGGAAGCTGTTCACAGGAAGACACAAGACAACTTCTCCAAACTGCAAAATAAAACAAAGACTGTCTAAAATGAGGCAGCAGAAACATTCTTATTTTTAACATTTTTTATAATAATAATACATTTTTACTTAAAGGCGCCTCCTCTGGGCACTCGAGGACCCGTACAAACACCATAAAAATAAAACAGTAAGTAACAAGAAACATAGAAAAGACAACGAGATAGTTAAGTGGGGTATCAATTCTGAAAAGGGTAGTTTTTAGTCTTGATTTGAAGAAGTGTGAGAGAGTCCAGGTTCCTGAGGTCCGTGGGAGTGAGTTCCAGAGTCGGGGGCAAGAGCAGGCTGAAAAGCCCTGCTCCCCATGGTGACGAGGCGGCGGGAGGGGAACAGAGAAGGTGGACAGAGGAGGCAGATCTGAGGGAACGGAAGGGGTGGCAATGTGGATGGAAGTCGGACCAGATAAGGAGGAGAAAGGTTGTGGGATGGCCTTGAACGTAAACAGTGAGGATTTTTGAAGTCAATGCAGAGTTTTGACCCCGGAGACAGTGGAGTTGCTGCAGAACAGGGGTGAATGTGGTGGATGGAGGGGGTTCTGGTGATGATTCGAGCTGCAGAGTTCTTTTTTATTAACAAAATGGAATGTAAACAGCTGCTTTTCTTCCAACACTGGGACAAGAATAACTCTCTTAAACTAAGAAGTTGTGCAAGTGGTCTTATAAAATAGGAATAATGTCCTAATAATCTCCTGCTGGGATATTATGCAAAACCAATCCCGTTGGAACTTGTTACTGGGTTAAATCAAGCCAATATTCCAAATTCAATTTCAATTCAATTCCATTTATTTGTATAGCGCCAATTCATAACAGAAGTTATCTCATCAGGACACTTTTCAAATAGATGCAGGTCTAGACGAACTCTTATAAATTTACAGAGACCCAACAGTACCAACCATGAGCAAGCACTTGGCAACAGGCAAGGAAAAATGCCCTTTAACAGGCAGAAACCTGGACAGACCACTCGGCTCTAGGTGGTGGTCGTCTCTCTCGACCAGTGGGGTGAGAGAGAAAGAAAGACAGAGAGAGACAGACAAGAGAGACAGAAGGTGCATAGCAACAACAGTTTGGTAATGGCAATCCAGCAGGACCATGGCAGGAGGCTCCAACCAGGGGATATCGATAAGAACCTGCAAGACCGATAAAGCACAAGAACTCTGGGGAAGAAGTGAAATTAGTAACCTGCATTAATGGGACATGAATGAGTGCAGAAAGAGAGAGAGAGAGGAAGTAGGAGCTCAGTGCACCATGGGAAATCCCCCGATAGTCTAGCCTATACAGCATAACTAAGGGATAGTTCAGGACTCACCTGATCCAGCCCTAACTATAAGCTTTATCAAAGAGGAATATTAGCTGTAATGTCTTATTAAGACAAAGTTAGATATATTTTGTTAAAAGGAGATTAGTTTTGAAATGTAACGCATGCTTGAAATTATTACTATTGGGCTTTTATTACTTTCTTGACATTCCTTTTTTGTAGTGTAGAACTAAGGACACCTAACTGCCTGACAGAGTGCGTTGCTTTGCTCAAACTTCCATTTAACAGAAACAGCACATTAAAATGAAGTTGATTTCCAGGTAATAGATGCTGCAGTGGGGGGATCATCAGCAACGGTGGGTGTTGTCGGAGGGGTAGCAGGTGCGGCTCACCAAGCAACTGTGACAACAGTAGATCAGACACAAATCATCACACTACAGGTATGTGGTAATTTGAAGCCATTTCACATGATGGCGTCCAACTTTTATCCCCATTGGGAAAGCTGAATTAAATTCTCTTGTGGTTTGACTCCTATTTCAGGTCTTGAATTTGTCTTAATTGATGCCCTGTAGATTCCCTGAAAATGTGCTCTGGACTCAGGTGTCTCTCTGTCCGCAGGTGGTAAACATGGAGGAGCAGGCCGCTCTGGGTCTGGGGGAACTCCAGTTGGTCCAAGTTCCCGTTTCTGCCTCCACTGTGGAGGCCCTGCAGCAAGGAACCTTTGTAGACACCACTGCTATGCCAAAAGACGGCGACCCGGTCATCTGTCACACCCTGCCGCTGCCTGAGGGCTTTCAGGTACACAGACAGACACAAACATTAGTTAACTCAGACCTACAACACTAATGCGTTATTTGCGTGATTTCTCTTTGCACTTCAGCACCTACAGAAGAAACCCACCCACAATGATTTGTCTGTATTGACTAAACAACTGATGCATTTGCTGTGCAGGTAGTTAAGGTCGGTGCTAATGGGGAGGTGGAGACAGTGGAGCAGGAGGATGATGGGGGAGAAGCCCATCCTGAGGAGGAAGATGAGGAGGTGGGGAGCCAGCTGCTGGAAGAAGGGGAGGATGAGCCCATTCAGCCTCCCAATGACGACACAAACTGGGCTAAAGACCCGGACTATCAGCCCCCGTCTGGAGCTGTCAAAAAGACTAAAAAGGCAAGATAGTTTGGTGGTGTCAGTCTTGGTTTTCTGGACATGTGAGATGCTTCCC